CTTTACATGCAGTGCCCATACTTCAATAATGGCAATGTTGTTGAAGACGTTATGGTGTAAAGACATATGAGACAAGCTTTGTAGGGGGAAGTAGTACCTTTTATTATCACAAATCATATAGCTGGAAAAAAAAACAGGCTTCAAGTACATGTAACTTGCCCCAGGTCTTCCACGCCCCGAAGCTTGTCTGTGTTTTTCAGTTCAATCATTTGGACTGACAGAAGGTTATCACCTGACTCACCAACTTTGCCTCAACCCATCTTCCCATGGCTCTTCCAAAACAGAGTAGAGGCTTTCCCCTATACTTAAATAAAGGGAAATGTCAGTTGTTCCATTGCCAACTGCCAAAGCATCTTTGGTTTCTCTGATATTCTCCAGCTTTGTAAAAGAAAGATGCTGAACCAAAGCCTTCATTAAAAAGTACCCATCTAATCACTGTCTGAAAAAAGCTGTTATTTTTTTATCCAGGACTGATCGCTTCCTGTGCTATCCTATAAAAAACCCTATAGATCTCTTTAATCCCCTCCATCATAAAAAGTTTATTCAATTCATTAATCCTAAACATAAGCAAAAGTATGAGGGTACACAGGCATGTCCTACAAAGCATTCCTTTTTTTTATTTTTTAGGAAACGAATACAGGGGTTTTTTTGCCGTACTCTGATTTCTGCTGAGATTGGATCCTCCCTTACAACCGTTTTGTAAGAGCAGCAGTACAGCCTCAAAGCCAATAGCCAGAGGGTCCAACAGTTGAAAGTCTGAGGACGTGTTTGGAAATTCTAGCATCAGTGCCCCGCTGCTCTGTGGGCTTGTTGCCAGAGATTGAGCTTCTCACCTCCCCATAGACAGAAGGGAGCGAATGCTTCTGCCAGGTCAGCACTGTAACAGCAAGCATTGCAAAACACTGAGACAGCGAGAATGGAAGCCTTAAGAGCACTTTAGACCCACCAACACATGGTTTGTAACAGCAGGCTTCTACTTCCCATAGTGGACCTCACTTAATTTTTACTTATGTGTCATTTTCTGTCACTTAAATGAGTAAAAATCAGGCACTCAATGCATGTAATGTAAAAGAGGAAGCATTTTTGTTGCAACATTGCCCTCTGCCTGAAACGGCTGGGCTGATGGTACAGACCTCACTCAAGCCTGACCCGTGGAAAGGAAGCAAGAAAAGCCCCAAAATATGGATTCTGGTGGCTGAGCCAAACAATGAGCACAGCACAATCCTTTGGTCAAAAAAAAAAAAAAAAGTTTTCTATATTTCCAGAAGTTTTCTGATTTCCATAACAAGGTAAAATTGAGATGTCTCTTCAGTCATTTGAAAAACTGGGAATATAACGTTATTTTTTCCAAACAATGTCTGGTCATTAATTCTCAAAATCAAAATTAATTTTTTTGTCCTTAGTTGCAGTTCATTGCAACTTGTTGCTGCAGTTTTACCTATTTATGTGGCATTCTGCTTAACATTTTTCAATCATGTTGTGTCTCACTGTTCCAAAACTTGGCTCTTGAGTATTTTATAGTCATTAATCTTCTATATTTATTTTTATTTTTTGGTTCCTAGATACTTTCAGTACTAAAACTAAATGCCAGTCAATTTTTATATGCCTAAAGTGTCGATCTGTATTTTCTATGTGCAGTTTTATGAAATCACATGGGCCTGTTCGATCTGCCTTTACATCCTAGTGAACTAATGAAGACCAAATTAAGTCCAAATGGGACCTCATCCCATGCTCTGGATCCACAGAAAAATCCCTTTCAAGATAATGATGTTGTTCTAGCAAGACTGAGGTCTGTGTTGCCTTCCTTCTGCGTGCTTTTTCTCCCAGGTGACCCTTACGCTTTGGAAAAGCCCCCTCAGATCTGTGCCACTTGGTGGAAAGGGAGGAGTCCAGCCATAGGGAACGTATTGCTGGAGCAGAGATTTGATTCCTTAAGCTCTCCTGAGCTAAACTTTATGCAAACATGATTCTGCCCTATTAAAATCGGTAAAAATTCAATAGTGGTAACATCAAGGTCTCAATCCTTGTGCAGATGAATTTCCCCCAAAACCAATGGAAGTCTGACGGAAAAGGGGATTGACTGAAACATAAATGGGGACGGCAAGTGTCTCTCTCTCTTGATGGAAATCAACGGGAGCTTTTACTATACAAATCAGATGAAAAGACCAGGCCCTTATTGACTGTCATATTTTAAATGTTTTCAGAGAAGCACATTTATTTTGAAATTGTACAAGCAAAAGAAATGCAATTCTCTTTATTAACAGATGTTGTATTTTTTTGAAATCTTGGAAGCAAAAGGATCAAGCTTTAGAAGTGCTTTTGGTATAATTCCATTTTATGCTTTTGACTATGCTGAATATCATTTGCAGAAACACAGGTTTAGACATTTGTTTTTTCCAGTCTCGACTGCATACACGGGATCCACTCCTGAACATATAGCTCATGTATAATTCCTGATTAAAACATGTACTTGAGCAGTTGCAGGACTGGACCCAGCTTTCATTCCACTACAGCAGGTGTAAGTAGTGCAGTCCAAGATCATTTCCTTCATCATTAATTGCTATGTAGCAAATTATGCAAAATTACTTGAGTATATTTTTCTGTTTTTCTAAAACCTTGAAGCCATTTCAGACTTATTACCCATTCACCACAGTAAGGGGAGGGTAGGTTTTGAGTTCTGGAGTCAGTCTCCAACAGTTGTGGAATTTCAAAACAATTTAAGGAGTCTCAGGATGAAGTGACTCCCCTGTGCATCTGAAAGCAGGGTCTGACTCTTTGTATCACTGGAAAATGAAGATTGTTCAGGGAGATAGCTTTGCAATCAATCTATTTTTTATATTTTCTACTAACCGCAGAATCCTGAATCAAAGTTTTAATTCCTTTTCAATGATGAAACCAAATGTACGCATTTAAAAGATGTTCACAGAGTAATCGGAACATTTTTGGAGTAAATAATCACATTACTTCAAATCTAGGGTGGGGGGAATAATATATCGCACAAACTGCAAAGTTCATACAGGAAAGCCATTTACAGGGGAAGCATATAACGTAAGGAATGTAACATGGTGTAGGAATTTATTGCACTACGGAATTTATATAAAATACACTTTTTTAAATAAAAACACAAAAGGCCTTTTAATGCTTTATTGTATAGAACATAGGAGCCTCTGTGCTAATGCAGCAGTCTAATGCACTGTGTCCTCACTTCAAAATTGGTCTCAAAATTCAAACATCAGTGATGTTAGAGAGGTGATATCTGATCGAACACTAAAGCAACTGACCTGAAGAGCATTTTAGCACAGTATTACGTAACCAAAAGTGTGTACAGAAAATTGTATTTTTGCCGATAACATGCATAAATCAAATTGACAATTGGCTTCTTGAGTCTTTTCCTAACAGGTAACACTGGGCAACATATTTTTATTCCTTTCAAGTTCTTTTAAAAGTAGATCTCTTCCCCTACATGTAGACTGAGCTCCTCTTTAAACCTTAAAAAATGTTTCATTCAAATTATTTAATTAACTCCTTCAACCTCATCTCTAAACCACAGCCCAGTACAAAAGCCAGTTGTCTTTTTCAAGCCCTATGGCAAATACAGTCAGCCTGGTAAAAATGTCCGGGGCCTACCTGACTGATTTTTTTCTTTTAATTCATACAATTTTTGAATCATTTGGATAGAAAATAAAGTGTAACATTTTGATTATGCAAAACATACGTTAAAAGCAAAAAAAATGCAAGAAATAAGTTTTTTTCAAAGTAGCCAGCATAGATCAAGCAAGAAATGCAAATACAGCAAAGGGGGAAGAAAGGCAGAAAACTGTAAGCAAGGCATGTTTTAATATACTATATAAACGAGAGATATAATAAAACATATATAAAAATAGACCTTGTTCACACTTAATCAGGTAAAAATGCCAGTAGCAAAAGATTTAATTCCACTCCTACCCCAT